CTACTGTACACCCCCCCCCCGGGGCCATTCACCCGAACACCAAGCCGAGAAGAATCTGAGTAGAAGAAGTGTCCGCCAACCGTTGTTTTCGACCCCTAGTCTTGGGCACTTTTTACCTATCCCACCCATTCGTGCGTCCGTCCCTTTGGAGTTTTTTTGGGGGGGAATTTGATAATACGTGCAAGTAATCAATTCCAGGAGTGGGCTCATGATCGAACAGCAGCGTCATCATAAGTTGTTGTGATGCAAGCTGATATTGTATTAACAGCAGGCAGCAGCACCCACCTACACATGGCTACCAGCCGCCAGCCGTGATGTTTCCCAAGCTCGAACAACCGACGTGTTTTATCTCGAACGTTCCGGCTACCGTGGGTTGCATAAGGTATCACACCTCCTGGACCGATCTTTAAAGCTCGATTACTCCACGACGAAGAGGATACCGAAATTGAGGTCTACGTTTTCGGAATAGCTCTCGACGATACGGTTCCAACGCCGCCATACTCGACACCGTCGCTGTTTCTCCTGCGGAGATATCGTGCTTCCAAAATTGATCCAGGGGGTGTGATATCTTGCGTCATGTCACCTACGGTAACCTCAACGACAAATCCGTTTGGCGTTCGAGCAGGGAGAGCCGTTTCGGAGTGCTCCCGGCCGGCGCGCCCATGCAGCTGACCTTCCTCGGCACGGCTTCCTGCATCCCGTCCACGTCGCGGGGGGTCTCCTGCACCGTGCTCAGGAACGAGGGGGACCTGTGGCTATTCGACGTCGGAGAGGGGACGCAGATTCAGGTACATGTTGTTCCACTCATGGGGGTGGGTTGGCGGGGAGCTGATGTTTGGAATCATGTTTCGTTTTTTTCACGCGGGGTGCTTGCACGTGGCTTTGCAAGCAGCAAGCTCATGGTACTGCTGTAACAGGCACTGAGGATCACGCGGATTTTGTAAAGATGACAACCTGTACATAGCCCGCGCCCCCCCCCCCTCCCCGGTGCCCCGTCCTCCGATCGAATGTGCGCATTTCATACGGCAGATCCAGAAGAGCAGCCTGAAACCCACGAGGATCACCAAGATCTTCATCACGCACGCCCACGGAGACCACAGCTTCGGCCTTCCCGGCCTGCTGTGCCTCATGGGAACGAACTTCGATCGGGCAGATGGAAGACGGGTTGAAATATATGGCCCGACGGTGAGTGGTCGTTTGGCCATTGCCCACGCGTGCTCGAGCGGACGGAGCATTGTGCCCACGGGACCGGTCACCGATGAGTTGCCAATCGTTCCTTCCTACTTCGCCGAATGTTTTGGGTGTCCGCTCATTGGCTGGTGAAGTGCTTCCCGATGAGACAAATACATGATTGGGTGTGATTGAAACGAGAACGTGTGGCGGACTTCGCGGTATCTCCTTTTTCTTGTTTGGGGATAGTTTAATTTTATATCCGAGCTGTCGGATTTTTGGACCAGAGAGCCACTCCTCTCCTGCTGTGCCGGCGGCATTTTTTTCTGCCGCTAATGAGTCGCACGCACGGAGCTGCTCACGTTCGTACCGATACCATACCATGACCAAACCATAAGCCTTGCGTCCCCCCTAGTCGTTCGCGTGACTTGCTTCCTCCGCCCTTTCTTCGTATCCCTGCTGCTCCCATGCCATGCATACACGACGGTGCCACGTTATTCTTCAACGACGGGGCCCCTACCCCCCCTCCCCCCTAGGGACTACGCGCGTACCTCCGAGCAGCGGTGCAGTTCACGTACTCGAAGGCCGTCGTTCCCTACGTGGTGCACGAACTGACGGACGTTCCCTACCTGCACGGTGACCACTTCAGCGAGCCGGAGCCTATCCACGTCAACATTGCGCGGGACGTCAGGTATTGCCACTTACAGGTAGAGCGGCAGGCGCTGAACCACGGGGGGCTCCGCCGTTTCGCCTGGCAGGAGTAGCGGTGGTAGTAGTAGGAGGAGGATGAGAAGTAGTGGTAGTCCTAGTAGCAGTGTTGAGGAGGTTGTGGGTGCTCTCCCCACGGAGGGCAAGGGGTAAGGATCGATCGCGTTTTTTTTTTTTCTCTTTGCTTTTTCTCTCTACTGATATGGTCTGGGTGAAAATGACGGGGGACATCGTCCGCCCGCTTCGCGCGCTTCGCGTGTCCCATGTGTGCTGGTGCTGTCGCTTGCCCGGTCTCTCTCTGTCTCTCTATCTCTCTATCTCTCCACTGCTGCTGCTTCTACATCGTGTCGCGATGTGGTTTCTTGCGTACCGCCAGGTATGGCGAGCAGCACGGAGGGCGGAATTTCTTCCCTGACAAGAACGGGCACTACGAGTTGTTCCAGGACGACAAGGTTAGTACCATGCTTCTGTATTATTTCCGGATATGTAGAAGAACCGGACCCGTCGACGACGGGATAGGAGACTTCTATCCACGAGAGGGTAAGCATGGGGAGAGCCCGAATAGGTTTTCGCTATGCTCTGCCGCATGGCGCAGAGAGGAGACGCGACGTGGTCGAGGTTCGCATTCGATGGCCACCCGTTCTCGCCCGTTGGGCCAGTCAGTATCTCAGCCCGGTGGCCTTTCCAGTACATACAATTGTGTTCGCCCAGTTGTGTATGGCTAGTCGCCCAGTTTAGGTGTACTACTCTGCGGTTTGTTGGTTGGTTCCGAGGTTTCGTTGCAATTGCCCGACCGGCAGACTTGGTGAAAGGGATGGATCTTCCCCTGATAGCACGCACCCCAACCCCCCCCCCCCCCCCCCCCCCCCCCCCCCCCCCCCCCCCCCCCCCCCCCCCCNTTTGTGGGTCGATGGTGAACCCCTAAGAACTCACCACCTACCTCCGTTTATTCTTGCCTTTGACGTGCTTGTCGATGGTGGACCCCCCTATAAAATCAACCTCGCTCCGGTTATTGTTGCTTGTGGCGTGCGCTTGGTCGACGGTGGACCCCTATTACGGTGGCACATAATTGTAATAGGAGCAAATAAAAAGATATGCGTTTCGGAGTTTAACTTTCGCAATACGATGCGCAGCGTAGCATACGATAGCGCAAATTGACGATAGGGGAAAGGCGGTCACGATGAAACAAAAAAAATGTATATATATATTGCAAATTGCTTGAGTTATGGCTTGCCGTGTACCTGAGCAGAGACTCAAAATCGGAACAATGCCCAGGAACATCCGGCCAACAATGGTATCCCCACTTCTCGGCCTGTAACTAACAATTTTAAGCGCCTGTTGGCATACAGCAGTAGCGCAAAACGCTTCCATGAAGAAGGCGGTCAATACGCAAGAAGATAAAACATGAATGCAGTTGACGTGTGACAAGCTGCATCCGGGGTAAAGTTTGTCGACATTTGAACATTTTGGATGTTTATTTCAAGGACAACTGCAGCAGCTGGAAGCAGGGACGCATTCCTTCGCGCATAGCAATCACATATGCGTGCTGCTGCACGCTCCTGCTCAGCTTAGCGCTGCGTCTGTCCAGGGCCAAAGCATCTCTCGCCGCTGCCGTCTTGGCTCTCTTTCTCGCCTTCGTCTCGCGTCCACCGACACCGCCGGTGGGCTTGTTCCTGCCCTTGGGTTTTGTCATCGGCCGATAGCTGGGGGAGGCCCCTCTTCCAGCGTGTGGTACTCGACAACGGCTGCGTTGTTTCAAAAGCTGGTCTGATGGTCCCGCGAGCCAAATCATAGGGTTTCCAAAAAGTTCTACTTGCGTTCCTATTTCTTCATTTTGTTTTTTTTCGCCTTCCCACATAAAAACACAGTCAAAAAGTACCCTATACATCGCCGGCCACGGCTTACCTTGTCGTTATGTGATGAGAGCAAGACCAGGCTCATTTGAAAGCTGTGGTTGCCATCTTTCATTTGATGTGTGGTAGGTCTACTGCCCTAGCTTTACTGTGCATATAAAGGCTTTGAACCATAATGTTTGTTTCCTGCGATTGAAAAACAATTGCGGCCATGCCTTGTTCAGAATTTTTGTTTCGCCGGAAGAAAGCAAAAATTTGCTCCGATTAATTATGTGCCACCGTAATAATAGACACCTGACGCCTCCTCCGTTGGTTTCTGCTTGTGGCGTGCTCTTGGTCAACGGCGGCAAAAAACACGACGCTCTTCCGCCGGATGGGAAAGCAGCTGACGGTGCGAGCGGCGCCCATGAAACACGGCGTGCCTTGCGTTGGGTACACGGTCGAAGAGGCCGACCGCCCCGGGAGGTTAGTTGAAGTGAAGTGAAGTGACGTGGAAGGCAGTTTGGGCGATCGGACTTGGTTTTTTTGGCTCTGAATTTGTTAGCAATCCAAGGTGCTCGCTCAATCGGGTCCTGACCGCGAGACCCTCAAAGCGAAACTATTCAGCCCCTGCACGGGTCCTTTAGGAGGTTTGGCTGTTGGTACAGCCCCCGGTTAAACCTAGTGGGAGGGGGTGGTGTCGAGGGGAACGAGGGCTGGAGCACGTCCGTGGGTGGGTTCTAAGCTTGTTGGAACGCGGGGATTGGTGCGGTTTTTTGGTTGTGGCAGCAAGGTGGTGGCCGTAGTAAACAGTGCTCGTGACGTGGTTCCCGTGGTGTCCGTCCTGCGGCTCCTGTACCGCGCCTTGTTGTAGACGGGTCGTCGAAGTTGTTTATGTCCATTCTCTTTCCGTCCTCTTCCCCTGCTCGCGTGCTGATTACAACCAAGCAAGCGGGGTGGACGGAACCCGCCGTGATGGGGAGCCCATGCTCGTGCTGCCGCTGCTGCCGCCGCTTGCTGCTGCTGCTGCTGTTGCTCCTGCTGCTCCTGCTCCTGCTGCTCCTGCACGTGTCGCGAGAAACTCATGCCTGTTGTCCTCGCGATGACCCACATCAGGTTGAAAGTCGAAGAGCTTAACCCCATCCTGGAGGAGCACAAGGAAGCGATCTGTAACACCACCGGCCGGAGGGACGTTGGCTGGATGCTAGGCTGGATTAAGGTGAACAAAACACCCAGCGGCGGCAGTGTTGCTGTTGTACAAGACAGCGGTGACGTTTCCTTTGTCATGGCTTGTTTGTGAGTGATCTGGTTCGGCGATTTGGAGTCTCGATTTAGAGAGGATTGAACCAACGCATGCCACACCCTCGTTCTCTGTCCCGCTCCCCCTACCGGACTTGCATTGTGGGCTTTGACAAGGCGGAGGGAGGGGGGGAGGGGGGGGGGGGGGGGGGGGGGGGGGGGG